TATTTTTACTCGCGGCTATATATCTGCCCTTAAGCCCATGGGCTTAAGGGCAATTGGCACTCACTTGGACCAGCCACGGCTCAAATCAGCAATTTGGTAGCCTTAATAAACCAGATATTTTCGATCCTTCGGAACAAACGTCGTCCTAATAGGTGGGGAATTAGGACTTAGCACTTGGGAAGTCCGATATCGTTCCGATACGGGAACTCGACCAATCACGTACGGCCTTTTCAAACAATCTCCTCCGTTTCAGCCTATTAAAAGCAACCGGCTAAGTTGTTTTCCTAAATTTATAATGACTGAAAATTAGAATTGGCGGTGGACATATAAACAGTTGAGGGAAGCTATAGGACGAAGCTAAAAGTGCTGTGTTGTAAATTCTGCGGAGACATTTTTTCCAAATAAGATCACATTCTCTTGTCGAAACATCCCCAATAGGATGTGAATCGGGACCGAACCAATGCGTCAGTTTCGCGCGATCGAATGCAGATCGAGTCCGCGGTTGTCCATCGTTTCGCGAATCGCCTTCGAATAATTGGAACTGATTTTTTTTCATCCTAACAGCAGTCTACTTACATTCAATATAATCGGCCTCACGAACTCACCACCCTGGTACTGGTGTTTACTGAGTATGTATATACGTACTTCGGTAGGATCCATAAGGTTTATTATTTTTGGAGCGTCTAAAACACAGAAGGAGGTATAAAAAAAGATTTTTGGACGATCGATATAGTATGAGCGAAACTTTTGTTAGAAAATGAATTAGGCTGTTTTAAAGAATTTTCTCTACTATGATTGAACTCAATTATTTTGGTAGCTTGGCGAGTTTTCAGGTTGGAAAAACTCCCAACTCCATTGTCTGGATGTAGCTTAGACGCTGGTTTGATCGCAGCTTTCTTAACCATAACGTCTTTCCTAATTTGAGAATTTGCTTACGGGCATATAAAGATTTTCCTGAAGTTTTGACCGTCCTATTCGCTTGTGCAAGGCCCCATTGTAAGAGGGGGACCGCGATTGCGCTGGGCGCGGCCTTCTCCGAGTTACTTTTACGTAGTTTAGCGGATTACTGCAGAAGCAATTCCACGTTAGAGTGGTGCACTGAACTGCCAAAATAAACTGTATTTAGACCAAATACTATAAGATTAACTCTAGAAATTTATCCTCGTAGTCTAAATGTCACCTCATGATGGCACCTCTGGATGCACTGAATAAACCTTCTTGTTTAAGTCGGTCAACCGGAGGGTTTTTGTTCATTGTGTTGCACGCCAGTTGTGGGTTGTCGTTCAGTTTTACGTCGCCCATGTGCTTTCCATATTGTGGCACTTAATATATCTTCTTTTTGATGTTTAATATTTGTGTCTGTATTAATTGCTGCCACTAGTTAATAATTAAAATCAGCTGAAGTGAAAAATAGGTTTAAATGCCAAACGACATTCCTCCCACCACATCAACTGTTCATTGTATATTTATATACCGATTGTATTGTTCTTTATTGTCAATGAGAAGTAACTATGAAGCGTATGTATTATGGATTGCCCGGGGTACCTATTTCAACCGAATTTAACGTCAGAAGCGGCATTATTATGTGGCAACGGAGGATCTGATGTCGTCACTGCCTCCATGTCGTACGTTCCAGAGCAGTCGTCGGAGTTGGATGTGCCCTAACTAAACCCAGAAATTCCTACCGGTAGGCATTTCATGAGTATAATTTGGTGAAATGCTCAGGATCTGCGAAAATAACAGAAGACCAAAATACAGCTCGAGGCCAATGTTTTCTCTTGGATTTGCAAGGGTTTTGATTAAAGGAGTAGATGCTGTTGCGTACACTGAAGAGGGATTGGGCGACCGTTCGTCGTTGGAGTATTTTCCGGTTACCGCAAACATAGACTGATGAATGACGTTCTCAGCGATTGCATTAGTGGGCTGGAGAGGCATTCTAGCCAGTGGCCTGCGGGTCTCGCATACGCAGGACGTTGTAAAGTTCCACCTAGTTAATGTCATCTGCGATGCACCTGCACGCTATTACGTGTGCCAATTGAAAGCCCATAAGAGCTACTGACGTAAGTTATGTCGTTCCCTCGAACTAACGAACTACGGCTTACTAATCTCATAAACGGAGAGAGGTAAGGAAGGCCAGTAAGTGAATAAAGTTAATATTCAAAATGTTCAATGACCTGACCAGAGAGCATGCAATCGGCGCGAAGCTTACAAGCGGCAGAGTCTTCGTCACGTTAAAACAAATGCTACAGTAAAACAAACGTGACAAGATTGTCAAAGGTCAAGTAGTCAAGTACTTCAGCACAGTACCCACCTCCGAGACCGGAGGGCGGCGTGAAAGACGCCGGAGGACATATAAAGGTCTAGGAGAAATGAGTAACTAGACGATCGGGAAAGTGAACGTGACGTCCACTGCGGGTGAAATATGCGGGAGGCACTGTTGGAGACAGCTGATTAGGTGTTGTAGTGGACAAGTTAAGGGTGGAGGAAGAGGTTGCAGTTTGATGCTGCGAACAAGAAGGAAGAGGAAGTATACGGGACGGAGGGATAGGTGGGGAAAGTGGAAAAGGAGTGGGAGGAGGCATGGGGTCAGCACATGCTTGTTCTTGAGACACGTCCGGGCTCCTCTGCAACAGCAGCCTTGACCCGGTCGATGCTGACTACGTCCTCTTTGTCACCTCGCAGGATCCAAAATGACTTGCTGTTACGTGCAAGCACACGGAACGGTCCTTCGTATGGTGATTCTAACGGCTTCCGCACACGATAACACCGAACGAACACATGGGTGCAGTTGGCTAAGCCTTTTTCAACATAAGGCTCGGTCGATGGAGCTCGAGGTGGAACCGGGGAAAGCGAACGCATGAATTGTCGCAGACGATGCACAAAATTTTCGGGGGTCTCTTCGGCACCACGAGAGGTTGGGGTGACCATCTCACCAGGGAGTCGGAGGGTAGTGCCGAAAACCAATTCGGCTGCGCTGCAGTCCAAGTCTGACTTCAGTGCCGCACGAATGCCAAGAGGTGCAACGGGTACATTGTCTGACCAGTTTTCGGGATCTTCTGCGGCACGCAGTGCAGTTTTTAGCTGGCGGTGGAAACGCTTAACCATGCCGTTGGCAGCTGGGTGGTAGGCCGTCGTCCGAATACGTGTGCAGCCAAGGAAGTTGAGGAGAATTTGGAAAAGTGTGGACACAAAGTGCGCGCCTCGATCAGTCGTAATCATGGATGGCGCACCGAATATGGCGACCCAACGACTGACGAAGGCCTTCACGATGGTCTCAGCTTGCACATTCGGTAAAGGAATGGCTTCCGGCCAACGGGTATAGCGAGCAACGCAGGTGAGAAGGTGAGTATAGCCATTGTATGGAGGTAAAGGACCTACGACATCTAAATGCACATGGTTGAACCGTGCATCGGGGCTCGGGAACGTGCCCGGTAGAGACTTGGACGGGTGCCAAATACGCGGCCGCATGTCTTCCATCACGGCTACCTTACGTACTAATGTTTGTTCAGTAGGTGTGCTTGTGGTATTTTTTGCCGCCGCGGCAAAAAAGAATACCACAAGCACACCTACTGAACAAACATTAGTACGTAAAGTAGCCGTGATGGAAGAACTGCGGCCTCCACGGTCAGAAAAAAACCCTCAAACACACCTACCGAACAGACTCGGTAGGGTTTACGGGGAGTTCCCATACACTGTTGCCTAAAATTTATGTCCAATATACAATGCCACTTTTGTACCCTTATGCACACAAACTTCTCCTTTCCTAAACCACCTCTGGGCAGTTCGCATGCGCGGCAGTTGCGCTGTTAACTGCGGGGTTACCGGTTTCGTGGTTTACGTGCAGTTTTCCCGTCATCATTATTCGATTTCAGGTCATGTTCCACTTACCCCCCCC